TAACTTAATGTGATCTCTAGAAGTGATTGGTGCAATAATATTCGTAGCTTTTTTGATACACTGTACTTATTTTTTAATGATTCACAAGAAAAAGAATTAATTTAGTACAGCTTTGAAGCAGAATGCTTCATTTTTGTGAAGCATCTATTATTTATTTGTAGATGAACTTTTTTTTAATATTTCATAAAAAATGAATTATCGTAGTTAATATAAAACTTTTTAAATAATATAAATATTTTAGTATCATACGAACTATGTTTTGCTTGAGTTTATATTTTAATTTTAACAGCAACAGTGAATTTGGTTTGTTTCTAAAATTAGGATCTTCTTTGTAAATTGATTAAATTTATGAAAGTTTTATATATGGTTTGTATTGTTTTTTTAAAGTTAAATACTTTACCTTCTGGACCAAATATTTTCTTGTATAGTGGACATACTTTCTACATATAATATATTCTACATATATTATATGTATACCAATGGCTAATTGAAAAATTCTATTTAAAAATAAGTTCAAAAACAAAAAAATTAGCAAAATATGGCCAAACCTTTTTTTAAAAGGTTAAATAAAAAATTTGGTTTTCTTGCCCTTGCTGCTTTTTTGAGCAATATCAAACTATTTTAGCAATGTCTATTTATATTTATGACGAATACTATTTCTCAGACTTACAGAGCTGTAGCTAGGCTACCCCACACACCCCAATTCAAAAAACCCAGCGACTTTAGGGAGCTCTTTTGCAAATTTGAAGAGCTTTTTTTGATTTTGAAAATTTTGAGGCTTTAATGACGAGTTTTTTTTTTTTTAAAGGAAAAGGGCAGGAAGGGAGGGGGGTGAAGGGCTTCAACACACTAGCCATGGCAGTGAACATTTATGTGCTGTATAGTTTATATATTATTTAATGCTTTTATAAGCAAAAAAAAATTACAATATGTGTTGTATACTACCATGCATGGTCATACAAAAATAAATATAAGTTGATTAATATTTTAATTTCAACTATTATTATTCAATTATAAATAAACATTATATATAATGTTGATCTATAGTTCAACCTATTTAATACACAAATAAAATTTGAAGAAAAGGTAAAGTTTTGCGTTTTTATCGATTTATAAAAGTTTATGTTTATGTTTTGCGTTTTTATCGATTTATACAAAAATTTATACAAAGTAAATTATCTACCAAATATTTCTAACATCAAAATGTCTTTGAATAAAACATCGTAAGCTTAATTAATTAGCCTCCGTACTTGGTATATATAAAGTGATCTATCAATATATCAAAAAGGAAAGGTTTTGAATTACAAAGCAGTATTGGATTTTAAAATTATCTCGTTTTTTGTTCTTAATAACTCTTTACTTAATTTATGATATATTGTTCTGTAAATTTATGATATATTGCTCTATAAATTTATGATATATTGCTCTGTAAATTTATGATAATTGCTCTATAAATCTATGATATATTGTTCTATAAATAGGTTTTAAGGAAGCAATTTAAAATTTGAACTGTTTCCTTAAAACTAAATTAAATCTAAACGATAGTCATCGTTTACATTTAAAAATGAATGATATTATTATTAATGAATAAATTAATTCTAGGTATATAAAAATAAACAGGAATACTGTTTTTTTTAATATTAAGCACCAACAAAATTACAAGATGAACAACCAAGTGGGCACGGAACGTTCGTTGGTTACCTTAAGAACGTCGTACGGACTTGTGACGTCTATAAAACGGACGCATGTATCCGCTAGAAAAGTATTTTATACAAAGTGCGTAGCCATACTAAATAACTATTATTACAAATATGTATATGAACAAAAGTATAATGAATAAAATCAATAAGTAAATATATTATAAGTAAATGTAATTATGGAACCTTTTTTCATAGTATTACAAACGAATCATGACAAATAATATTTACTAGATTATTAAATTGATTTAAATGACGTCAATTATCTGTTAATTCAAACGCTAAATGACGGTGAACGCGTCTAATAATGTTTGAAATTAAAATATCAAAAGCGATTACGCCTCCGCATTTACATTACATTAATGTATGAGTTTATCAACAAGAAATAATGTTGAATGCAATATCGGATTACGAAGTTTACTAAAAGGCGCAGTTGACTTCGGCTTCGACTTTGGTGCCGAAGTTGATATAGAAATTCGGCTTTCAGTTGAATTCAGTAACAATTTCAAAATTTCATTTAACTTTCAGTTAAATTCAAGAGCTATAAAGATTTTTTCAATTTATAAAGAAGAATTATAAAATATATTATATCTTTTATGTATATCAACAACCCCCTTTCAAAGTTGAAAGAGGGTTGTAACCAATATAAGAAGTAGCTTCCTCAACTAAAGTGGCCCACTCAACCTTAGGGAACATGAATTGGGTAAAAAAAAAAAAATCGTTCATGTTCGTTCAAAAACATTAAGAGTTGTAAAGAATCTATAACTTAAATTTTCATTATTACTGAATTTTTAGATTTTTTAATTTGACACAAACAGTTTTTTGTAAGCGTATATTTTTAAATAAATCGAAATTTACTTGACTTCAATTGTTCTATGACAAGTTTTAAATTATGGTTATTTACAAGTTAAAAAAATAATAACTTTAGTTTATAAAAAATGATTATACAGCGCAATGGTTAGAACGCTTGCTTTAGAAGCAATAGACCTAGGGTTTAAAGCAAGTTCTAGCCATATTTCGCTTCATCGGTAAGAAAAAAGGTTTGAACTTTCTAGTTCAATACAGAAAATACTTTTCTGATGTACTCCGTGGCAAAACCGTTTTTTAATTAAATGCGTTTTTAAAAATCCAAATTCGGCTTTCAGTTAAATTCGGTTTAGAAGTCCAAATTCTTCTTTTAGTTAAATTCGGCCTACATATACGGCTTAAATTTGTCTTTCAGTTAAATTAGGTATACGCATGTAATTAAAATTCGCTTTTCATATAATTTCGAGTCTTAAAATATCGACTTTGCCGGTCCCTAATTGAATGTTAAAACAATTTTGCTGTTTAACGGTATAATACAATACAATGCTTTCATTTTTATTAACTCTGTAACTATATTAATAATATATAGGTCTATAAATAGGCTTTAGGGAAATAGTTCAAAAGCTTATTTGATATGCAAGTAATAAGCAATTAATTCATGCTAGATAGATAATGGTTTCCAAGATTGTTATTTTTTGTATGCAACAATAATATATATATATATATATATATATATATATATATATATATATATATATATATATATATATATATATATATATATATATATATATATATATATATATACATATATATATATATATATATATATATATATATATATATATATATATATATATATATATATATATATATATATACATATATATATATATATATATATATATATATATATATATATATATATATATATATTATATATATATATATATATATATATATATATATATATATATATATATATATATATATATACCATAAAAGAATAACGAAACAATTCGATTTATAAAGTTAATGGCCTTTAGTTAGATAAAAGCTGGAAAAAAAAAAAAGAAAAAAAAAGCATATCTCTTGTTTATAAGATAAAATTAACTTTCTGATTTTTCCAGAAAACATTTAATTATCTATTAATAACAATCTGTAGATAATTAAGGGACATAAAATGTATGTAATTTAAACAACATAAAAAATGCAATATTTGTAAAGATACAAAAACAAGTTAATAAAAGTTTTTTTGCTTCATTTTAGGTACAAATAATATCAAAAACTATTTTTTTAAATATGCATTAAGATAATATAAAATATGTAAAAATATAAATACCAATCTTTATACCTTACTACGACATTTTTTTTATTAAGTTCACTTGTGCAAAAAAGTGTGAGTTTTTTTTCTTTATTGTTTTACATAAAGCAACTGTTAAGTACCGCGACTTTTCGTAAAACAGCGTTTTGTTGTATTTTGTAAAGGATAGAGTTATAGAGCTAAAACATCAGTTTATGGTGTTACGTTTAAGAAACGTGTTTTGTATTTAAAAGTAAAAATTTGGAAGTAAATAAATAAAAGTTTTAAGTTTCTTAGTTGAAAGAAAATAAAATGTCCTAAAATGTTAGAGAAGGTGATTAAAAAAATAATTGTTCATGAAGTCTGTAGGTTTTATTACATTACCGTTTAAAGTCCTTGAAAATCATTTAGTTTTGAGACCGCTCTAAAGCTGCTGAATTTATTTTCAATAAGTTAATTTCAAAAAGTTTAACAAAAAAGTGACCAGCATAATTTCAGTTTTAAGGAAAAAAACTTTCTCTAAAATAAATTTTTATTTTAAAATTATTATCAATACTAGTTAGTCTTAAAAACTAAGTTTAATATTGTTTATGTAATACTTTTTTTTGTCATTTATAATGTTCGTTACGAATAACTAACCTACGCAGAACCGCTTCTTGATAATCTACATAGCTAAAAATTTACAGCAATTAAAATACTTAGAGAAAAAATTATATACAATATTAGATAATGCAAATATAAATAAAAATAATTCGGATGAATCATTAAAGAACTGATTTACGTCGTTAAAGATTGTCAATAACTAAAACAATTAACGATCATTAATAAAAACCGTCATTGATATTAGTAAGACAATGCTCATTGTTTCTTATTTCATATAAATAAACCTTGATTCCAAATTTAAAAATCGAAAGAAAATCTTTAGCAAGAGATGTCTGGAAGAAGATTTGAGATCACGTTATATATATATATATATATATATATATATATATATATATATATATATATATATATATATATATATATATATATATATATATATATATGTATATATATATACATATATATATATATATATATATATATATATATATATATATATATATATATATATATATATATATATATATATATATATATATATATATATATATATATATATTTTTGTTCTTTATTTCAATATTTATGATACAGATACAAATAATATAACAAAGAAAAAAGATAAGGTAACAAGTCAAGATATCGTTAAGTAATAAAGAATAAAAATAATTATAAAGAACGCGGATACTCAAAGAAGACCATCAGGTCTTGTCACAGAGAAACCGCTATTGAACGTTTTTTTTTTTTTTTTTAATTTTTTTTTATTTTTGTTTCAATGTTTTTATTCTTTATATTTATTTATTTTTGTTCAATTTCTTTTTATTACAAAATAATAAAAGTATATAAAGTTCGTAATATAATATTATAAATAAACATACAATATTACAATATAAGAGTTCTAAAACGTAAAAACTAAAACATGTTAAATAATTAAATAAAATAAAACGTGTTAAATAATTGCTTGTTGATAAAAAATAAAAAAATAAAAAAAGAATGTACATTAAATATATATATATATATATATATATATATATATATATATATATACTATATATATATATATATATATATATATATATATATATATATATATATATATATATATATATATATATATATATATATATATATATATATATATATATATATATATATATATATATATATATATATATATATATATATATATATATATATATATATATATACTAATATAGATAAGGGGTTTTCAAAAATTTAAAAGTAGATTAGTATATTTTCAGTTGAAAAAATGAGTTTTTTAAATTTTTGTTTAAAAGAATCAAAATTACATTCTTGAGAAAAATCTTTAGAAGTATTTAGAATTATACTTTTCCATAGAAATGGTCCGCGAAATGAAATAAAAAATTTTCCGTAATTAGTTTGGGAAAATGGTTGTCGAATTAAGTTTTCGTTTCTTAGAATATATTTATTTCTATCTCTTTGTAAATACAAGTTATATATATGTATATATATATATATAAATATATATATATATATATATATATATATATATATATATATATATATATATATATATATATATATATATATATATATATATATATAATATATATATATATATATATATATATATATATATATATATATATATATATATATATATATATATATATATATATATATAAATTATGTTTTTGTATCCTACAAATAGGTTTCAAATGTTAATATAATATTTTTTATAAAAACTTTTTTACAATTTATCTGTAGTTTTAACTGACAATATAATACTTTAGTGTAGATTAAAGTTTGTTGATTTTTATATTCTACTTAAATAACTGCATTATATTCAGGAAAATATAAAAAAGAAAATGAAACCTTTCATTTTGGCTGCGTTTTTGTTTTTCTCTAATTGCTACACGTCAACGGCATTTACATGCATTAATTGTGCCACTGTAAAATGCAAAGCTCCAGAAGGATGTAAAGGTAAATATTATTATCTCTAGATCTACGCTATTAAAGAGTATTATTATCTCCACAATGTTTTTGGAATTAATGCTATACGATATTATAATTTTTTATTTATAATGTAAATAAAAAGTTTCAAATTCATGTAGCACTAATATAAGAATATATACAAACTGTATATATGTTTGCTGGATATATTAGTTTTTTCACAAATCTCCGTAGGCTGTATTTCACATAAAACTTTAATCAAAAGTTTAAAACCTAAAATTGCATAATTAAATAGGTTGGAATATTTTTTTTTTAGAACACTGTGTTTTTTTTAGAACACTATGTTTCTACGGTATAACTAATTGCATTTTCGTTAAAAGTGATTTAACAAGTTTTTTTACGGTTAAAATTTAATGCTTGAGTTCATGGTATAAAATTCATGTCTGCATAATCAATGTTTTATTTTTATTTTGGGTTTTTAGATTTTTTATATATCAACCTTAAAGTATCTTAGACTAAGACTTTTACCTAAGATTTTCAGTGGAAATATAAACAAAAGTTCGTTTTTTTTTAGTTATTGGAGAAAACGTAGAAGAAAAAAGAAATTAAAAAATATAGAAACAAAATGTTAATAGAACTTCGTATTGTTTTTTTTTTTAATTTTTTATTTATTTTAACTTTTACATTTCATCTTTTCTATTGAATCTGTGGTTTCATTTCCTTTAGCATATGCTTTTACGCATTATTTAGAACTATTCAAAATTCTTGTTTAACTCCCCACTCTTGATAATAGTAACAAATAAAACCAACACTTTCATATTAAATCGTCAAAATTTGTTCCGCAAAACTTTTAATTAAAAACAAAAATAACTGCATCGTTTGATTTAAGTTGGAGAAACAAAAGCTAGAATACTAAAAAGATGAAAAATTAAATCAATACAGAGAATAATTCTGTTGTATACGCCCAAGTTTAGATAATATTTTGAGGAGCTCGTAGTAAGGGTAATCTTGAGAAATAAAAACAACTTTTCGATCACAACTTTAACATTTTCTTAGAGAGCAAATTCTCTAAAAGAATGTTTAATACGTTAAAAAAACTAAAGTTTTGCAGAAAATTGTTGTTTTAAAATGTCTATGAAGGAGGTCTTTGATTCACTTGATTAACGTTTTTATAAAAAAATATTTCTTGGATGTTTATGTGTAATAAAATTTTTATTTTTATAGTTACTTCTTTTACATTTTAACACTATTTGTGGATTGTTAGAAAAATATTTTTTTTAAACTAGGATCACTCATTGCTTGCTTCTTCTAGGACTCTAGGACCAGACCTTCTTGTTTTTTTATTAGAATAAAGTTTAAGTAAATAATGTATATTTCATATACCAATTTAAGTAAATGATGTTTATTTAATATAATATTGAGCAATTTAATATAATAACGCTTTACAATAATAATGAGGTCAGTTATAAAGACAAACTTATGGAAAAGAATAGACGTATATAAACGTAAATTTTATATATGAATTTTAAAACATAAAAAATCTAAAGGACTCTTAAAGGAGTTTTAAAAGGGGCTCTAATTTAGTTATATTTAATTAAACCTTACTAAATGTTAGACTTATTCAAAAGATATTATAGATTTTTTAACCCTGTTAAAAAATTAATAATCTCTTTTAAATAGTCCTTAAGAATTTTTATGCTTCTTAATAAACTTGTTTTTATAAAAATAGGTAGAAATAGTTAAACCAAGATAATTAAGTACGTTAATCCTTGAGGTCGAAGAGAAAACATACGCATGATATTTTTTAAAATTTTTATATTTATTAAAAGCTGGAACAGTCAAAGACTATTGTGGTTGTTGTGACATTTGTGCTCAGGCCTCTGGTGAAGAATGCGGAGGATTACTGGAAAATACTAAAAAATGCGGTAACCAATTGGAATGTGTCAAAAAGAATGATACCATCAAGTCAGACTTGATGGGAATATGTATGAATTGTTTATTATTTTATTTTTTTAAATATTTTTTATGAAAAATAAGAATAAATAATAATGGATATTTACTTAGGTCGACCAAAATGCGATCAAACTCAGTTGTGCAAAATGTATTGCCCATATGGGTTTGTAATTGACAAAAATGGATGTGAAATTTGTCGTTGTAATAGTAAGAAATCTTTTTTTATTATTTTTGTTTGTGGTGATATAAGATAAGTTATTAAAAGTATTTTTTTCCTAAAGGTCGACCGATATGTGGGCCAGTATGCAAAATTTACTGTAAAAACGGAAACGTTCTTGATGGAGCAGGATGTCCGACTTGCAGTTGCTACAGTAAAAAAAATTAAACTATTTTTAATATATGAGCAAATAAGTTTAAGTAGAAAACTTTTGTATTTATGCAACAAATTTTATTTAGAAATACCAAAATGCGTGGCTTTACAATATTCTGTTAAAGATTTAGCATATAAGCCAACATGTCCAAAGATTATATGTCCATTAATTAAATGTGCTTATGGGGTGGTACTTGATCAATATGGCTGCAAGACATGTAAATGCCGAAGTAAGCATTGTTTAAAAAATTATTGACTATTTAACTTTTTTTAATTATAATTATTGGTGCTATAAACTTATTTACTCAATAGATTATTTTATATAAATGCAAGGTTAAATTGAGAATAAATTTTAATAAAGAATAACATTTACTTATAAAGATATATTTAAAAACGCCATAAGAGTTTTATATAAAGTTTTTTTCTTTATTTTAAAATAATTCTTCCATTAAATCCCGATCATTCTTTCCTTTTTTTTCTTTTTATATTAGTAACTTAATTTTTACTTTTATACTAAAACTTCTATTTTTCTAAATAACAAAGTTTTATTGATATTTGATCAACAACAGCAACAACAACATTAACAACGTTTGTTATTGTTGTTATTTTAGTTAGAGCGGGATAGCTCTAACTATCTGAGCTCTCCCGCCACAGTTAAACACATATATGTTTTAACTTTATATTTCCGTAATAGTAATACAAAATTAATCTCAATGTTCAATACAACCTTTTAAAATGCCAAAGAACAAATTAATATAATAATATAATACAAATTTAAAAAGTTTAAAAAGTAGCAAAATAAAAAAAACATTAAAAAAACTTCTACTTAACAAAAAATAAAGTTTGTATCGTTAGTTATAAAATAGCATCGTTAATTACCCGTAGCATTTTTTTTTTTTTTGCGTTTCAAAATCTTCTATTAAAGAACGCATGAATGAGCATTATTGATAATAATAATAATAAGTTCGGTTATGGCCTACTATAACTACATTGTAATTCTATTAGGCCATGGTTTGGTAATAATAATTCGGTGATACATCTATAATTCCAGCTAACTGTTTCAAGACGTTTATTTAGGTGTTCCTCCATTGTGCAGTATAGATGGATGTTGTAAGGTACCTACGCGTTTTTGCAACAAAAATAACAAGTAAGTTAAAGTTCTTAAAGTATTTTTGAAACAACTTTTATTATTAAAAGTATATATATATATATATATATATATATATATATATGTATATATATATATGTTTATTTATATATATTGTATTATTAAAGGTATATATATATATATATATATATATATATATATATATAATATATATATATATATATATATATATATATATTTATATATATATATATATATTTATATATATGTATATATATATATGTATATATATTTATATATATGTATATATATATGTATATATACATATATATATATATATATATATATATATATATATATATATATATATATATATATATATATATATGTATATATGCATATATATATATATATATATATTTATATATATATGTATATATATATTTAAATATATATATATATATATATATATACATATATATATTTATATATATGTATATATATTTATATATATGTATATATATATATGTATATATCTATATATATATATATATATATATATATATATATATATATATATTATATATATATATATATATATATATATATATATATATATTGTTGTTCAACAAAAAACCTTTGAGCTGAAGATGTTGTTCAACAAAAAACCTTTGAGCTGAAGATGTTGTTCAACAAAAAACCTTTGAGCTGCAAAGCTGCTTAAAGAAGTTTTAAAAAATACTTTTTTAAAACTTCTTTAAGCAGCTTTGGAATGAAATTTATTTAATTTATTTTTAGATGTTGTATACACGGTTCAACATGCTTTGCAAAACCCGGATGGTACAGAACTTAATTAATTTAACATTTTTCAAATGAAATTTTTTTTTGGAAAATTGAATAAAATTGTATTTAAACATTTTTTTCTGTTATGTAAAAAAAAAAAAATTTAAAGAGTAAATGTTAAAGGATAAAAAAATTCTAAATATAAAAAATTGAATTTTTTATAACAACGTAAAGCAAAAGTTTATTTATTGAGCTTATTTAACCTAAATGATTAAGTTGTTAGGGTCAAGACTTGTTGTTAGGGTCAAGATTTGTTGTTTGGGTCAAGACTTGCTGTTAGGTTAAGACTTGTTGTTATGGTCAAGACCTGACTTAAACAATTAATTAGTATTAAAGCAAATCAAAAGAAATCAATATTATGGTGAAAATGATTTGACAAATCAAAATAAAGTTTAAATATTAGCAACAAATTTCTATTAAATTGGTTTTAAAAAAGACAAAGAAAAACACGTATGTTGCGTCCTTGGCTGCAGTGAAACCGTTCAGTTTACGCAGTGCGGAATTCGGTTGTTCTGCAGTATACTTCTTTCTTATCTTAGTTTTATTCAACTGATCAATTAGATCAATTTCTAAATTTTCAAATATTGTCAAGAACTTGGATCAGATGGCGCGTAGCGAATGATGGTTTGTTGGTAAGATTAAGCACATTGACATTCAGGACAACATCTGACTTTTTTTGAAACTAACTTCCACAAATACTTTTCAATTGCTTTTTCAATTGTCACGTCTTGCTAAAAATGACATCTTCCGACTCTGATGCAACGGAAAGTTTTTATAATACGGTTTGATTCTTTTTTCTTCAGTTACAGCTTGTCGTTCTTGATATAAAATAACCTTTTTTGTACCTTTTTTTTAATATATAATATTTCACCATAAAGAAAAAATTACAAAATTAGTTACATACAAACACACAGCTGAGGAAAGAAGAAGACAAATTCAGTCTTATTGCCAGGCCCCTTTAAAACAATAAATAAATAAAACAATTACGTTGTTAAATTACACTTTTTTGTTATATCTCAATTAATATATGCAAAAACCAACGGCAATTGTTTCAAACTTTAAAATTTATTGATTTCAGTGGGCATATGAACGTTTTGAAAGTTTTTTTTTAAAGGTGCCGTAAAAAAGTTTTAAACGTTTTGAAACGGTTACTGGACATTTTCCTAAATTATTCCATTTTTTGAACGTTTTTTAAGGGTCCCATCAAAACTTTTTTTATTGGTTTTTATTGTGTCTAAATAAAATGTTTTGATACTTTTAACAATCGTCTTAAAAACCTTTTTTTATGTATAATTTATTTAAGTAAATAACTTATGTTATACAGAAAAACCTTTTGCAAATAAAAATTTAGGTGCAACAGCCTAAATCCGGATATATTTTGAAAAGTTTTATTATTTTCTGTTTTTTTATAATATAAGCATACAAAAACGTAACAGAACAATTGTTATGCTATTTTCTTCAAATGATCCTCAACTTATCGACCAAATCTAATGTTGTTGCATATGACACAAATGTTTCTAAAAAGAAAAATATCATAGAAATCTTCCATGCATTTCATTAAGATACTATGGTAAATCAAAGTATAAATGTACCACCAATATTCTAGAAGAATCAAGACAATTAAAGTTAAAAACTTACCCAAAACGATTAATAAAAGCAATATACACTAATAGTTCTGATGACATTCCAGTACCAAAAACAGAAGAGAAACTACAACTATTAATGGAATCAGAATCTAGTGCAGTCAATTTATCAGTAAACCTTGATGTTGATTTTAGATGGAAAACGCAGACATCAAAAACCAAACCTGAGACACTTGAATATAATTATAGATAAGTAAATTTTAACTTTAAAGAAAAGTAAACCTTGATGCTTTTTCTGTTTTTGAAAAAATGACTTAAATAGATACCATAGTTTTGCAAATAATAAAACACAGTGTGCTATATATGAAGCAAAAAGGCGTTCCATTTGAGACCGATAAAGCGGAGATAAGTGCTTTTTTAGGAATTTGTCTTATTAGGGGTACCATGTTTTACACTCTATTAGAAATTATTGGTTTAGTCGGCCAGATCTTTAGGTCCCCTTTGTATCAAACATAATGCCTCAAACACAATTTGAGACGATTCGTTTTGCATTAGATTTTGCAAATAATGATGAAATGTTACCAAGAAGTCATCCACAATATGATCGGGCTTTTAAAGCCTGCCCATTGATTAACCACTAAAACATTTGTTTCCAATCTGCCAAAAATGCAAGCAAGCAACATTCAATTGATGAGTAGATGATAAAATTTAAAGGTCAAAACATCATGAAACAATACATAAAGAATAAACCCATTAAGTTAATTTAACCCATTAAAGGGACTCAAGTTGTGGTACAGATGTGATGCTGTAACTGAATACCTTTATCAGTTTGATCTTTATACAAGACGCAAAGTAAGCACAGAATTTGGCCTTGGTGAGAGAGTTGTTGTGCTGTCATGTTTTTATAGATATTTTCTTCAACTCGCTACAGTTACAAGTTCACTTACTATAAAAAAAGATTTATCTATTTTCTTACTTTTTTGTAATATATTAGTAATCACTATTTATTTTACATACAATTAACTATAATACATTTATAAATACAAGAATATTTATATGTATACATTTATAAATAATATAAAAATTAAAATAATGACAGGAGCAAGTAAAAGACTGCAGTCTTATCATCAAGCCCTTTTCATTTGTAATTTTGTAATAATATATACGTGAGATTAACGTGACGTTAAAAGTTCATTAGTAGAAATAAATAAAAACAAAGATATAACAAAAAACAACACGTATTCTGTAAGTTTTCCAAATCGTGGTGAACAAAGGAACTCAAAATATACACAAAAAAATTTTTTGTCATTGTCTATAGTTAAATTTTATTTAACTATAAACAATGACAAAATGTAACAAGACACAAGAATGAATGGAGTACAAAAGATACATCCTATCACGTAAAAACTTTCATAAAGCGGTAAAGGCAGCCCGAAATCAAAAAGTCTATAAAAAACTATAAATTTTAAAAATCTGAAAACTAGAAATTCTCAGAATTTCTGGGTCAATATTAGTAAATATAAAAACAAAGCTAGTATTCGGTTATTTTCAATTAATGAATCGCAAAACATAAAAGATATCGTTAAGGAATTCAGACAATATTTTTAAGCATTTTTATACTCAATATGCCGCTTATTAAAAATAACAACCAAAACCTATTTCAAATTCCACCTCTGACGAGCATGCCTAATTCAACTCTCATAACAAAAATCTCCTTTTGTGGCTCTCTAACCTTTTTAACAGCTTTCCAACGAATAGGAAGATCCCAAAAGATGTAACAACTTCAACAATTATTCCATTTCGTAAATGAAAGTGAAATACTTTCGAATATAAAAGTCATATGAAAAATATCTTAACAATCTAAATAATTACCTCGGAATAAATATTGTATCTACCTTTAAAAACTTCTAGAGTATCTAACTTTAATTATATGTCCTAGTATAACAGATAACCATTTCCACCAGTTTGGAGTTAAAAAAAACAGCTCTACTCTCCACGCAATGTTTCTGTTGAGTAAAACTATACAGCACTATAAACATAATAACACACCACTATGTGCAGTTTAGATGCAGTTTAGATGCCAATAAAGTTTTTGATACCTACGACTGAAATTTGCTGTTTGATGAGCTTTGTTTCCCAAAAAAAATTCCACAGTAAACACAATTTCATGGGTTTTTCACGTAGTAAACACAATTTCATGGGTTTATCTAATCGGTACTGCAACATATCATCTTAAGGACTTACATCAAATCAATTTAGTCTCTCACAAGGAGTGCGACAAGGTTCTATTATATCGCCTCATCTATATAACATTTATACTGAAAGCATTCTAAATGAAATAGTTTCAGATTTTAAAGAAGGACTGACAGTAAATGGTATATATACGAGCATCATATTTTTTTTTTTTTATCATTTATTTATTTTGCCATTGATAAATATTACAAAAAAGAAATTACAATAAAAGAAAATCCTGGTAGGAGTAAGAAGAAGACAAGTTGTCTTATCACCGAGCCCCGTCACACAAAAATTTACATGCACAATAAATGATAAAAGACAAAAAGACAGTATAAATACAAAAACAAATCAAAAACTTCAGCAATAAAAAAATTTGTTGCTAACAATCTTCCAGCAAAATAATTTTAAAAATAAAAAAGCAAAAACGACAGAAAATCATGAAAGTTATAAAAACACGAAAAAAATGCGTTGTTTAATTAAAGAAAAAAAGCAATATATGTAAACATAGGTATTTGGGCTGATTATTTAATATCATCAAAAATATGAACGAAAAAGACAATTTTATTTTCGTTATCTTTTATGCTAATGGTTTGAAACCATTTTAATAAAAGCTAAAGAAAGTGATAAAGATTTAATTTATTTTTAAGTGATTTAGTTTAAACCTTTAAATTGTTTTCAAAAGAGGTATTTGAAATCTAATTTATCGAATTCCATGTTCAGTAAATGCCGTTTTGAATCATCCTTAAAACTTTGCAAAGTGCTGTTTAAAACAAAGTTTTGTTTTTTACTAAAGATTGGAAGAAATTTTTTCAAAACTAAAGGGCCCCGATAATGAATTTGGTACGAACTTAATTTAAGAAGGTTTATGGGAGCCACAAACTTACTCACTGAAAATTTGGTTGGATATTTATGGGAGATTTCATTAAAGTAGGATTAAAATATTACTGGAGGAAACCCAAGTTTTGCTTTAAACATAAATAACATTACTTGATGAATATTAAGCTTATAAATATTTAAAGCTCCAAGCTGAGTTAAGAGAGGTTTGCATTGCACTTTTCTATTTGCCCCAAATACTATCCTGCAAGCATGTTTTTGTTTATTATAAATTTTTTTGAGTTTAGTGTGATTAGTGCTACCCCAGGAAATGTTACAGTATGAAAGATAGCTGTGTATAAACGAAAAATATGAATTTTTTAAAGACTCTTTATTAAGAAAAGGTTTGGTTTGGTATAACATGGCAATATTTTTTGAGATCTTACCTTCAATATATTTAATATGATATTTCTATGAGAATTTTTCATCTAAGAACACTCCCAGAAAGTTTTT